TGTATGTGTCCTTCTCAAGTAGCAATCGAGTATCTCTGGCATCTTTTTTAGTGTGACCCCTTGAGAGTACTTGTTCTCTGACTGTGTTGCCTAAATGCAACGTGTCTGACAGAAGACAGCTTACTTGGGGGTCATTCTAGAGCCAGTCGACGCTATTATTTTGTTTGGCAAGGGGAGATGTTGGAAAGCTATTGCTTCCACATATTGTTAATCCTGTAGTAAAATGTCCAGTTCTCTCATGTCTAGCAGTAGGGCGTCAGGGAGCCGTTCCCCTCCCCGTGGGATTTTCTACTGGGATTTTAATTTCATGTATTTTAGGGAAATACTATCTACTGCTGATAAGGTAATAGTTTCTTTCTGTTCAAGTAGACTGTAAAAAATTTGACAGAGCTTCTTGATAGCAGACAGGAACACAACATATGAAAATATCTCATTTTGAAAAAAAGGCATGCCTGCCTACCACCTGTACCCTATGTATAATATATCTTGTGTATAATTACACAGAGCGTGCATAAAATTGCTGCCCTCGAAACAAGTTCTTGCCAGAGGAATAAGCAAAACTTTCAAGGCGTAAAAATCAGTCCTGGCATTTTGGTTTTGAATTACTGTTTGGGCCAGATTCTTTGCCGAGTTGAGGTGCATCAAAGCTGGCTGGCGGTGAGCCAGGAAGGGTGCGTTTCGTGAGCAGCAGGATGACTGCAGCTGGCTCCGCTGCGTTACAGGGCTGTGACAGGAATGTCCCTGGGTGGAGCGTGCCGTCCTGCCGCTGCTGCGGTTCCGCTGGGCGAGACCGCCAGTGTTTTCTGTCTCACAGAGTTTCCCTCTAGCGTGGGTAGTGGCTCAGATCTCTAAAAGTAGGAGGAAATAAATTGCTTGTTATAATTTTTTTATAAATTTATTAGCTACGCACTTGCAGTAACTTGTTTAAAGTTAAATTAATTGGTTTAAAATCAAGATCTCTTAATAGAACTGAGTGATTTTGATTTGCAGGTGGCTTTGCCAAATGACGCTAAACCCAAGTCAGATTAGGAATGTGTAACCTCAGTGTTAGGTGCACCACCATGCCCCTCGTTCTGTTACTACGGATCGCTGTGGTTGGACAGAGGAAGTTGAGATAGAAAGATTTTTTTAGATTTAAGCAGTGCTCTTGATAGAGCCTGATGTACAACTCGTAGTTGTTTAAAGATCCATTTTAAGGAGATTCCTTCAGTTCAAATCTAAGTTTATGCCACGGAATGTGGTGGCCACTGTATCTTCTTCATTTTCTCTGGAAGAAACAGCTGAACTCTTGAATTTAGCTGTCAGGTGATGCAGAAAGTGTCAGAGAGGTCATACTCAGGGGAGTGCTTTGTTCTCCACTGTCAATGGTTGAAGTCCAGTTAGCGTTTTCTAGAACAGATACAACCCTACGGTTCTGTCTGGTGTCCACAACCAGTGCTTACTCCTCCCCTGACCAGCAGAAAGAAGCTCTCCCCATCTGTCTCGCTCGCAGTCTGTTTGCGGCGTGGTTTGTACCTGCTGCGGATGGGGTTAGAGGGCATCCTGCTGCAGTCACCGGTGGAAACGTTTGTCTGCCCTAAAAAAGGAATGAGATCTCCCAAGTTTATTTTACATCAACTGTTGAATAAAAAGGGTAGGAAAATGTTTGGACGTTCTTTGTGGTTTAAATATCACTCTTTGGTTTAAGCATGAAGGGCTTCACGTCTTATTTTGAAAAGTTCAGCAAGCTGTTCCCTCAGTGACATGCATGTAACAATCCGAGTAATATTCTTGCATATACAAGTTTGACCTTAACAGCAGGTGCTTAAAACATTCTTGTCCAAGGGAAAAAAAAAAATCCTTATCTTTGTGAGAAGTATAAATATTTGTTTTTGAAATAACTCCGCTTTTTAAAAAATTTTATTGGCTCTTGGAAGGTACATGTGCTCAAATGAACATACTTCTCAAAATGCGGCACTGCAGTACCAGAAGTAGTATCCATAGTTCTGTCTTTGGGTTTTTTCTCTGTGGGGCAAATCTGCTGCTTAAAATTGAGACAACTGAAAATTAGAGATAAGCAGGCATATGGTGCTGCTACACAGGCGTGTATTTATATATAAGTGTGTGTCTATATATATATATATGCACAACTTGCCAAACAACTGATATACTTTTTTGGGTTTTCCACTGCATAATATTTAAGAAGACGTAGAGTGAAAAATACTCCAGAGCCTTCTCTGCTTGGTAAAAGTTGAGTAATAATTCTGGGGTAGTGATTCCAGTACTGCTTTCCTTTTTCCAGGATTATGTATTTTCCCGACTGAGTGTTTGTTCCAGAATAAAGCATGTGCAGATAGAATTAGCTGAGAATAATCTGACCAGTCAATGTACCCACACAGGCAAATACCCAGACCTCGGTATGCTGAGTTACAGTGTACAATTTTTAAAATGCAGGGTCACCTTTAACTCGTTTATGTCTATCAGTACAGAAGATGTTAGCTCATATAATCTTAGTATTTGTTTGCGCATACAGCTTGGAGAGGCAAAAAGAAAATGTTTGCTTGTATTTGTCAGCAATACAAAATAATCTGCTGTTGATCAGCTTTGTCCTTCTCTTGCAGTCACAAGGACAGGGCATCCGTAGGCCACATTTTAGGACTCTGCAGGCTACATTTGGTCTTTGGGCTACATGTTGAGCAATTCTCCCTTAAAACCTGCAAGGCAATTACCTGCAACGTGCTCGAGGATGAGACCTTCCAATCTTGTAAGATTATTCGGTGGCTGCTGGTTGCACTCTTAAAACACAATCACATCATTACATTCTTTTCAAAAACCAACAGAACTGCGTTTATCCTATTTGATCATTGACCCATGAGAATCCTGCTTCACGCTCTTCATCCTGCTTCACAAAATAGGACAGCTCTGGAAACCAGCACTTCTTATCTTGTGTAAATAACTCTGAATCTGGAGGTGTGTTAAAGCACAACGGCAGTAAGTGGCCACAGGTAGGGACATGTGTTGACCATTTAGGAGAGAAAAGGTATCAGTTTGCTTCTTTGTGTGCCCGATATCTTTGTGGAAGAGAGCAGGTGGCTGAAAACACTGATATATATGTGCGCGTGTGTCCGTAGCTGAGTGTTTTGGAGAGAGTGTTCCTGGTGGTGTTATTGGAAAACCAACTGTGTGTAAAGCTTCTCTGCTTTAATCTTTTATGCACCGCACTTGGGTTTATGTGATTTATACTCTGTGTGCATCCATTGTGTACATCTAAGAATTACCTTTCCCAAGCAGAAATACAAAAGTTTGTCATGTTTGTAAACGACGGAGGGGGTCACCAGCGTGGGGCTGTGTGCGTGTGTATTTATGTTTAAAAGCATCGGTAGTTCCATAGACATTGTCAGTTTAGGGGTTTACAGGGTTAGTTTGATGGGATGCTTCTGTTCATTTGCGTGTCTTTTGGTTTATGTGATATTAACACCAGAAAAGGCTTTTGAAAAGCTGGTCATTAGTCAGTATGGGAAATTGTTATTAACCAGCAGCTGTCCTTACCAGCTTTTGCTGTTACAAGATTTGTGAAAGAGTGCCTGCTCCCCAGGAGTGCACTTCAGCGGCAGTTTAGAGCAGACGGGTTTGTTCTGCTGCAGTTCTTTTTTCCCCCCATGTCTTCAGCTGCAGGTTCCTGTTCCCCCCCACACACACACTGGTTCTCACAGTAAAGCCATTCAGCTAGCTAAAATGGCAGAAATCTAACCCAGAGAATAAACTTCCCTTCTCCTGTTTGCAGAAAAATTCTGGAGTAAGTACTTTGTGCTTAAATACTGTGGTACTGAATGTTACTTTTTATCTCTGTGGATCTGTGTAGGTTTGTCATGTGTAACTTACAAAGAAAATGTGCACGTTTGCGTTTAGGTTTCAAACTTCTCATGGCTATGCCTTAAGAGACTGTTTTGCTACTTAGTATGCTTTAAAGGAAGAATATTCATTGCACAGCTTCAAAAAGTGCTGAACAACATCAGGAAATATGAATTCATTCAGCCTTAACTCTTCCTCTTTGCATGTTTACCCATAAAAAATAAAAACTCCTACAATTAGATTGATCACATCACGTGCTTTGTTAATGTATACCACTACGTTATAGTAGTAATATATACACTGTGTATTATACCACTACAATCCTCATGTCTACACGTTCTGTGGAAGTCTGTCTTCTGTGTGGCTGCTGGAGTTGAAGCGGTTGGCCTGAAGGCCCTGGTGAATTCAGGGGCTGTTCCAGCCTGCTCGCTTGTGTTACCGGGGCAGTCAGTGGAAAGAAGTAGACACCTCAGAAAGGCAGTTTGGTGCCATGCGTTTTGGGCACCTATTTTTGATGGAGTGAAGTGCTCTCTGAAGGCGGCCCTCTCTGTCTATGTCATAAAAGAAAGTTTTGTCTTGGATCAGATGCCGAGCAGAGTTAGGTGAGATAATCTGGAGACTTAATGTGCTGTTAGGTCAGTTACAGGGGAATAGATAAAACTGTTTTTGTAGAGGGAAAGGAGAGCGATAACAGCTATAAAACATGAATAACATATGGCTGTAAAAATTAATGAAGTGGGGAGAGGAGGGGTTGAAAAAATGTAATAGCCAGGATTACTTTTAATTTTTGTTCAGGAATGCATTCAATTTTAAGATGTCATTGAAAGACTTTATTGATCCAATTATTTCCAAATACTCTGATGCAAAAAATAGATTTTTTTTTCCTTGAGCTTTAGGATTTTATTAATTCAAGGTTGAAAGTGCGGGAATGATCTACATAAACATTTCCCTATGGTACCCTATTTCCTGATTTTGCAATTGATCCCTTCAATACTGTTTCTTACACACATGGTTGGGACAAAGAAAAATGAAGTTGAGCATGTGTTTAGTAACCAAAGACAAGGTATGGTTTATATTCTGTAGCTGTGGATTACAGGCAAAGAAACAATTTAGTTGTCAATGGATTTCAGCAACGGTCTCTTTAAATCCTTTCTTTTTCTCCTATAAAGAAACAACACAAATAGAAGATCCCAGGAAGCAATGGAGGCAAGAACAAGAGAGAATGTTGAAAGATTATCTTATGGTAGCCCAGGATGCTCTCAGTACTCAGAAAGAACTGTACCAGGTGAAGGAACAGAGGCTAGCACTTGCACTGGATGAGTACGTACGGTTGAATGACGCCTACAAAGAAAAATCCAGCTCTCGTACAAGCTGTAAGTACAGTAGAGAATATAGTGTAACTTCTTTGATCCGTGCCTTGCAGGGGATCCTGTTTCTCTTTAGGATGATTTTTCAAGGTTTGCTGTGAACACCTTGTACTTTGGCTTCTTTAGACATAGCATCCCTACACTTTTTTTTTTTCTTAACACAAAAATATTCTGCTGGAGAGAACCCTCTTCTCCCTGACACAATTGAACTCCTTTGAGCCGTGGTTTAGAGCAGTTGGCTCTGAGATCTATTTTGTCATGCGGTTTGTCAGAACAAAATTCTGCAAAAATCTCGGTTCAAAGTAAATAGGATCTCTTGCACTCCATGGCTCCACACTGAAATGACCCTTCTGTGTTGACAGGTGTCTGCAATAGACCAAGCAGGGAATTTGTTGCTGCTTTATAGGAATAGCATACAATAATTTCGTAGCCTATGTGCAGTGATCAAAGGTGAAGTAGAGATACATGTCACAGTGCTGGGCAAGGAATTGGCATGCGGTAAAGTGCTGTCAGAGGCCTATCGTTGGCCAAAACATCTCTCTCAGAAGTAGATGATGTGATAAAAGTGACATGTACTGCTGTGGAAGAACTGAGTGGCGGGCTTCTGAATAAATCTTCTGCTTCCCAGAAATCTTCTTAGACATTACAGCTTCCAGGAAAAGGTGATCATGAGGTGGCTCAGCTAGAAGAATGGGAACAGAAAGCAGAGGAGGATAGAAAGCCAGGGAGAATGAGGTGCCACTTTAGGATCCTGGGATAAGCAAAGGAGAGATACCAAATAGTGGTAGGCGAAGAAAGGGGAAAGTTTTGATTATTCATTAATTATTGCCATCTTGCAATACTGACTACTCTATAAAAGGATCTATTTTTATTAAAGTATTATATGTTTTTCTGCACTTTGTAGTTTTAGATCATTGTGGATTCATGGAGGAAGGGACTAATTAATGGTTTAAATTACTCAAATATTTGTCCTTTTTTGTCTTTTTGAAAAAGTATTCTCAGGCTCCTCATCAAGCACAAAATATGACCCTGATATTCTGAAGGCTGAAATCTCCACTACAAGACTAAGGGTGAGAGCACTTAACTCATATTAATTTCTGTTCTCTCTGCAGAGTTTCTGACTATAGAATGCAAAGCTTGAACTAGCAAAGGTATCTTGTACCCTGATACTGAAACCTCCTAATACTCTCGTTAAGTATCATTCAGAGGTTTTTAATGAATTTTTAAAGCTGTGTCTGTTACTTTCAGATAACACATTTTGGGGAAACCTTGAGAGATACTCTAATTATATGTAGGTTTTAATAAATATAACTGTTTTCGCTTGTATATTTTTGTTTTTAAAAGGAAGAGTAAAAAGCTTTAGGTGAAAATAGACAAATAGTAGGCCAAGGTGAGCTGCAGCTAGATGACTGGTTTTACACAATGTTTCTTCTGAGAGAAATGCACCGTTAGCTACATGAACTGCCTCACAACTGTCTGTTGGTTTAATAAACCCCTTTCAATTGTGGGGTGAAACTTCGCTCTATTTTGTCAGAATGGAACAGTTCAGATCAAGAATGGAAGTCTGTGTTCACGTTTTGAAATTGCTGGCAAACAAAAATCCCGTATTTGGTCAGCTCTGTTCGGTATGGTCACTAACAGACTGAGTGTAAAGAACTTTCATTCACAGGTTAGTCTCTACTGAATTAATCTTGAATCAGGAGGAAGTGGTGTGGAAGACATTTAAAATCTGTATAGTGAGTGCATTTATTTAAGTGGTGGCATAGCATGCTCTGTGGATAACCTGGGCTTTCTGTAGTTAGTAACGAAAAGGAAAATACATCAGCCCGTGCAGGTTACTTCCCAGCGAAGTCCTGCCATGGGGGCTGGAGCACAGACTGCGGGAGCGGCAGTTACTCAGCTCTTCCATTGCCCCCTCCTGGCTTCTGCACAGAGCAGCACTCGTAATGTCCTGCTTCACCTGGAGTTACGATTAGGAGTTTAAACAATTAATGCTTAAAAGGAGCTCATTAAAATTATAAAATCCAGTATAAATCAGGGGTGGAATGCACTGTAAAATTGGCGTGCAGATGTTGCCCCCCTGACTGCTTGTATTGCTGTTCATCCTTACCAGTCTCAATTTGTAGTCCTTTAAGGAGAAGGAAAGGTGGTTAGTGAGAGAACTTATTTCAACACTGGAGGCGGTGGGAAGAAAAATTTTGTAAATTTAGTAGGGAGAATCAGCAGCAGTAAGGACCCTGTCAGGAACAAGAATGAAGAGACAAGACGAAAGCTTCTTTCTCAAGTGAGTGGAGCAGTAACAGATGTTCCCTTTGGCTAGGGGATCGCTAGTATATTTGGGAAATTAACAGTGTGGTTGAGGAACAAAACACATGGCCAGATTTCAATATAGTCACCTACAGGTCAAAGGGGGGGAAATTCAGACACGGTCCTGTGCTCAGTTTTTCCCATTACTTAGCTCTAATCACATCCCAGCTCAAGGTGCAGAAACACTGAGTCACCTCTTGGCTGCAGATCTACAGTTTGTCTGCTCTCTGAGGAGACAGGCAGATGTGTTAATCACAGTAATTCAGTTTGTGGAGGTGCTTTCCTCTCTTCATGTTTCTTGGGAGTCAAGGAGCCTAACACCCTGCTGGTTCCCGACGCCTGATTTATCGGCATTGCAAAGTCCAAGTTGCGTATGTGTCCAAAATAGGTGACCTGAATCTTGTCTGCACAGTTTAGAAGGGTGCAGCCCAAGAATATCTGTATCAGCGTAAAGTGTGTTGTCATCCAAAGCCACTGGATACGAAAATCATTGATTGAGATAAGAAAAAGTGGAGCCCTGTGATGCTAGGGGTGGAAAGTGGTTTTCATGGAAGATGGCAAGAGAGGTATGACTATCATCATAGTTTACCCTTATTTGAATGTTTGCGGATGCTTGCTAATGTGCCACCTTTTGGCATTTTGCAGTATATGCATGCGTGGACTTAATGGGAAACAACGTTAGTCGTTAGCAAGCTGCTAGCCTGCTAGTTCAGATTTGCGCATTGTTTAGTGAGCTGTTAGGTCAGATGCACTAAACCTGTTTCTGTCTCTCACGCTGGCGGAGGCTTACGGGTATCATCAGGTTAATGGTGGCTGGAGGGGGGAAACTCAGCATTCGAGGAAGTTCTGAATTGGCCTTTGGCCTTTTTCTTGTTAGCTGTGCTTAGTGTGTGCGTGTGGAGCCTTTTGGATACATGAATTCCCTGTTGTGCCATAGGTCGTGGAGAAAATGTGACAGAAACCAGACAGCAGTTACCTCAAATAAGCAGGAGAAGAAAGACCTTACTCACAAGATTAAAATGGAAGGATCTGATCCTGCAGTGGACTTTAGGTGGGGCCATTTGGGGCCTTCATTAGTAATCAGTAAGAGAATTCACACAACACAAAGCAGATGTGCTCACAGTATATTTTATGTATATGCAGCGAGCAGGGGATGCACCTTTATAAAATAACAAGGGGGGAGGATATCGTCGTCGTTGCGTTAGTGCTTGAGTGCTGGGAACAGAATGGGGTTAGCACAGGAGCCTGCTCGAAGATGCAATTAGGAGGAGGAAGCGAGGGGCCTGTCGGGTGGCTGAAGATGTTGTGCAGAAGCAGTAGGAAGGGATGAAGGATAAAACAAGCGAAGAGTTGTGAAAAAGCGGGAATTAAGTGAGAGTGTTGAAGGAGAAGACAAGGAGCACAAGAATAGTTTAATGCAAGTATGATGCAGTAAACACAGAGTCTGTATTATGATGTAGGTCACGTCCTTCTAGGATAATGTGCCTATCTCGCACTTCTCAATAATGAAATGATGATGAAGTACAGCAGAGGACACTCAGAAGATGATCTTGAGGAAGAACGTGAGGGTTTCTGAGAGATCCAATCCTCTAAGTTGAAATCAAGTGTGCCTTCTGCTCTTACTATAAATTCACATTTCTGATTTAAAAAAAAAAAAAAAGTTTAGCCATTCTGTGTTTCTCAGAAAAGTTGGGACTTCTTTCATGTTTTACACATTACTTAACCTGGAACATAGAGGTGATATCTGTCCATTTTTTATAACCTTGATCAAAACACTTGAGAGATTATTCTCGGGGTTTTTGTGCTACTCAGGGAAGAAATAGCTAAGGAGCACTGAACGTGTACTTAGAGACGTTGTCTGTTTATCGTGCTAACTATTCAGTATGGTCGAAATAAAAAGTTTCCTGTCAAGTAAAGCAACGAGTGATGATAGTTTCCAAAAGCCTGAACCCAACCCCTCATCTAGAGAACAGATTTTGCTTTGGAGAAAACAGAGATTGAGAGCATTTTGTTTCTGTCACAGAAAATTCATTAGCCAGAAGCTACAAATTTGAACGCCTAAGTATTGCTCACAAATCACTGGTTGTTTGAGCCATACAGAGCATTTTAAATCTCTTGGAAAGTTACAGCGCCTGCTGATGCTCAGTACTTTCAGTCATCTGGCATGTTGAGAATCTCACACTTTTTTTTTTTTTTTTTTTCTTTTTTCAATTTGAAGAATAACACCAGGTAAGAAGTCTAAGGGGTTTTGGATACAAAGAGTCTTGGAGACATATTTTGAAATTAATTTCAGTGAAAGTGGTCAAAATTGTTCATTTTAATTTAAGCCATTTTTCAAGAGAGTTGAATACCTGAGTAGCAATGCAAAAACAAGAATTTCACAGTGGTAGGCGAGAGCAGGGGACTTCCAGCAGGCTTTCCCTTTTTTCACCTTACTGACTGGAAAGTTAAAAAGCCTGGCAATATCTAGCTGGTATGTAGAGTGCAAACGAGGCAGGCATGGATGGATAAACACCAAAATCTGGGACTTTACAATTCAAGGAGGCATTCTGTCTCTGTGTGTGTGCTGAGGATTAATTTTAATTTGTATTAAAGTGCACTTCTTTGTAGGTGGTCCAGAAACTTTGGTTTAGCACATCTGGGAAGCATGACATAGAAAATTAAGTGGAGGATTTTTTAATTTATTCTTGGTTTGTAAATATTTTGTAGTGTACTCGTATATGCTAAGATCTGAAATAGCAATATTAAGATTAAAAATCAATTGAGCATGCAAATTTAGGGAAAGCGGGGAATGTTTTACCAAAGACGTTTGTATTAAATAGAAGCATATCTTTGCGATCCAAATGAGTTTAGTGATTGTTTTCTTTGAATTAAATGAATGTGAATTAGATATTTAGGGATCCATCGTCTGTAAAGCTTTATAAGAAAGGGTGGTTCATAGGTAGAAAAAAAAAGAGGAGTCCACGCTTTGCCTTTTACAGTGCAAATGACTTGAGAGCTTCCTGGAATGAAAAAATGAAAATATAATAAGCCTAAAAATACAGGCATGTCCCTGTAGGACAGTTGGAATGCATGCTTAACAAGTGAGAAGTAAATTACTTGTTAAAGTTCTCTCAGGTTTAATAACACAGTGTGGTATCAATACAAATAAGGAGTGTGATTTAATCTGCCTGTATCCCTTTAATACTAAAGCATGTTGCCCGTAGACAGCAGGAAGAGAACAGATCCTTTTGTTTTTAATATGTGTCAGTAGAGCAATTTACTCTCTTTTTTTTGTCTCTTCTGATGTAGAGAATACATTAATTGTTCAAAGCCATGTGTTACGCCGTTTAACAAGAGGAATTTTCTAACTCTTGCTTTGATTTAACACACAAGGTTAAGAAGCTGAAGAGGGAACTCTCTCAGATGAAGCAAGAGCTGCTGTACAAGGAACAGGGCTTTGAAACACTGCAACAGTGAGTAAAAGAGCTGAAACCAACTTAATTCAGTCACCTGATTTCTTTTTTTGGCACGGGATGGAATCCATCTTATGTGAGAGAATTATTCGGGGGGAAAAATGAGAATCTAATAACGCTTTCTGTTATAGTTGGGAAGCAGGAGATCTGTAGAAATGGCAAACCTATTGTGCAAGTGTTAACAAGAGAAATCTGTTCCCCCTCCTATTTTTTTTCTCCATGGGGTAGCTTGTATTGCAAAGAGACAGAAAGAAGGGCAGTGGTTAAGGGTCCCCAGGAAGAATTTAGCTGCTTTGCTTGTTCAGTTTAAAAAAAAATAATTAAAAATTTGAAAGGGTTATTAGGTCTGTCTTTCCTCCTTCCTTACCTCTGAGCTCAAAAGAGAGAAAGGAGGGTGCTGTTCTCGGAGGTGTAAATGGTGCACAACTGTGCAGGGTTTGAAATGAGTCACAGTTTGAGGATGAGAGACCTGACTTTCTTTGTTCCAGTTGCTGGGGTGCCTGGTGTCCAAAGGGCCGATGCTGAACTGGGTGAGCATTCTGGGTATTTATCCAGCTGGATTATTGGGGGATGAATTTTTTCAGCCTGAGCACTCCCTGCTGCTCCTGACTTACAAAGTTGGACCCTAAAATATTAAACATTACTGGAACTGTCACCACACAGAACCTTCTGCAGAGGAAAATGTGCTAACAAGCATGTTTTCTTGACTAATGTGAAGAGAAATTTATTAATGCTGTTTTTTTTCCATATTGTGATACATACCTATACGTTAAGGATATATTCACGCAGCAGAATGCTGAGCTGTGTGCCCTTAGTACACTTCTTCCAGTAGCAGAAGCGATGTTGCAGCATTAATGTAATATTTCGTGGATTCATTTACCTTTTTTCTCAGGACCACCTGTGTACGGCAGTGTACTGTCAGATAGGGATAGTCTCTATCCTGGAGAGCTTGCAGGATATATAGGGAAGCTGGACAAAAGGTGGGAGAAGGGAAGAGCATTTCCACCTTCCAGGTGGAGTACTGAAGTGCAGAGAAGTGATTTGCAAAGGGTGACGGACCAGCTATGTTTGGAGCTGAGAGACTGGAGTTCAGGTCCCAGTTTGAACCAAGACATCTTCTAGGCTGTTGCCCGTGTATTTTGATAGATCAGTTCTATACAGTAGGATGTTTTTTAAGTGGGAAAAAAAAAATCTGGTGCAGAAAAGGCCAATCATAATTACAGACATGTCAAAATGGATGAAAAATGTTTTTCTGGTATGAAGAGTTTGAAGTCATTTGGGAGCTGAAAACCCTCAGCACCTTAAGAGGATGCCAGTCAAGTCTCTATCCTTCTTCACTTTGACTGAAACAGAAATGCAAGATTTGTTTGTTATTAAAATATGTAAATACTAGTGAGGAGCGAAGGGAGGAAAGGATAGTAGATTGAATTTATTTAACCATAAATCAGATTTCATTTGAAGCAAAATTTAGAAGAAGAAAGATGTATTGATTCTAAAGCTTAAGGTAATAAAAACTCACGCTGCTGTCCCAGGATTAAAGGTTAGCCAATCATGCTGGTTTTATTATATTAATTCAACAATGAGGTATTGTTTTAAAGCAGCTTGCTCACAAGCCATTTTGATAGGAATCCAAAGCATGTTTCAGAAACTGTCAGCAGCATTCCACAGAAACACAATGGACGCTTGTTTTTAAAATTCAGTCAGCCACTTTCAAACAGGACTAATCCCATTAATTTGAAACAGGAAGATGGAATATCTATACGTCAGAGAGCCTTCTTGTTCATCTTAATTACGTACAGAATAAAGCAGTCGTGATTTGAAGGTGGCACATCATATTACTAGGCAGCATGCGGTGTATTACCCGACTGTTCGTTCATGATCCCAATTGTTGGCTTATCCTGTGTCTGTTTGACCTTAGCAGCCTGGTGAGTTCCCAAAAATTGAGTGTTGTCAGACGGTAAGTGCCTACCTGTGAAAGAGTCCGAGGAACTTTCAAGGTGAAACAAATATATCCTTGAGTAGGAATCTGAGTGCTGAGTCACACAGGCAATTTTCTTACACAAATGCCGTTCAAGTTTGCACAAAAACTGAAATGTGGAGAATGGAAAACAGACATGCTCACAGCTTTAAAGGCTGCTCCAGAAACTCGATATCTTTGTGCACAAAACTGGAAGAAAAATAGAATAGTTACAGGTGTTTTGTGCAAGTTGCCGTTCTTGCAGGGGATGCTGGAGATCGGTTCTGGTCACTAAAATGTTTGTTCATTCCCCACTCACAAGGTTAATGTCTTCCAGCAAAGATGACAGATGATGATAAAAACAAACCAACTGCAATAAAAAAAGACTGTATTCTCTGCTGAATGCTTGACTTCTGTGAAGGTGGCTGTTGGCTTTAATTTTGTGAAGCACAGCTGCAGTCATTTCTGATGCTATGAAATACGCAGTTACACTGGAGATCAGAGAGATGTGTTTACAAACTGTACTTCTTGAAGTAAATGCGGACATACTAAAATGAAGTACCTTTCCATCTCTAAGTTTAGGGGCTGGCTATTTTGTTATTTTCAAGTTACAGGTTTTAAAATCATTGCTTGTCCAAGAAGTTAGTGAATTGTCGGATGTACGGCACACGGTGTTAATGACCCAGAGATTTTGTGAACGGAGAGAGCCTGGCGACTGGCTGAGCAGAACAGCGGTGCCAGACGGTTAACGCCTAGGATTAGGGTGAGCAGGAGGGAAGCGGAGACATGAACGGCTCCTTCTCTGCGAGGCTGATCAGCACCGAGAAGCCTGCCTCTGTCTGCCCATGTCACGATGCGGGGCTGGGTAGAGGAACACCGCTAATAGCGAATAGAATTGACATTCTGCTTCTCTAAAGATCACAGTCAGTTAATAGCATGAAGGATGTACCCAAAAGCTGCTTCTGTGGTGCGGAGAGTTATGGTGGGGACGGGAATTTTGACAGTGTTGTCAGCAGTAATGCTGCGCTCCTGGCAGCATGCGTAGGGGTCTTCGGTGCTGTGGGCCACTGATGTCTTGAAGTCTGGATCCGCTAAAATTGCTTGTGGAGTCTCTGCCTTTGGTAAGGCCCCAGGAGCTTAGCTGAGGTGGTTTTAAAGCCAACAGAAGTATTTTTCCATGGCATTTCCTCATGTCAGCAAAAGTCATTCACTGGACACTGTGTACGTCTTCCTCAGCTTGACATTTTTACCAAGGATTAAGTAGGAATCATTTTAATGGAGACTTCAATGTCCTTTTGCATGTCTGTGACAGGAAATGGTGTCTCTTACCTCCTTCCCTTCTATTCTCTTAACGATGCTTCTGCCTGAAGCAGAACAGCAGAGAGGTTAGCATTATTCTCTGTATCTGCTATTAATATTCTCTCTTTCTACAGAATTGACCAAAAAATGTCTGGAAGCCAGAGCGGGTATGAACTGTGTGAGGCCAAAGCCATCCTGAGTGAACTGAAGTCCATCAGAAAGGCGATAAGTTCAGGGGAGAGAGAAAAACAAGATTTAATGAAGGTATTTTGAACAGTTGACAGAAGTTTTGTGTGGATTTGTTTTAACAAGACTTACTTTCCTGATGAGAAGTACTTAGCATTTTATACTTTTTAAGGGATTTTCAGAATTACTTGAGCCAAACTAGTATTAAAATCAATTTTCAGATGCAGAAGCTGAAGCCTGTGATGTTCCTAGTTCAAAAAGCCACTCTATGTCAGTCAGAGAATATAGATTGCTGAACTTGTATGTAAGGTACAAAGCATATGTTACCTCTAAACCACAGTTTAAAATACTAAGTGAACAAAACTGAGAGGTCTGTTTTGGAGATGCATGGCCATTTTCTATATCTAAATTGCTCTATTTTTATTTCTGAAAGCAGATCTTCTTTTTAATCAGCCGAATATTTAATTGGATGACAAATTTAAAAAAATAAAACAAAAAAACCCACAAAAAAACCCCAGCAAAACCACAAGAGACACAAAACCACAAGAGTAGTTTTTACATTGTCACAGATGTTGGTCACCCTTAGTGTCGTCTGCCAACTGTTTGATTAAAAAGATAGTTTGCTTCGTATGAAATAAACCCAGAATTTTTATATTGAGTCCTTTATGTAAACATCTTTTGGAGATAAACTGGTATAAACATGGTAAAATACAAAGGAATACCACCTCCTTCTCTGTTTCCTGGACAGAGTCTTGCAAAGCTGAGAGAGAAATTCAACCTTGAGCAGACTGTTGGGACATCTGAACCAGACTTGAATTCCAGCTCTGTAAACTCCCAGCTGTGTTTTTCTAGACAAACTCTGGATACAGGGTCTCAGACTGACATTTCTGGTGAGGTGAGCTTTTTTCCATTTTGTCAGATGTAAAGAGAAATTGAATCAGAATGCTGCAGTTAATGGAATTAGAATGAAATGGTTGTTTACTGTTGCTGATAGGTATACATACGCATGTTTGAGAGAATTACTTAGAAGCAGTTAATCTGATTTTTTTTTTTTCCCCCTTAAATTTTAAATCAAGATTCAGATGAATTTTACATGTTTGGCGTGAAGCGTTTATGACAATCTGATTTAATCAAATAGTTCCAGTACAGTGAAGATCAGCATAAATAGATAGTATTTTTTGAACCTGTCTATAGGATACGTTTCACTTTACAGACTTAATTCAATATGAAGTAGTTTTTAATTTTCAGAAGGAACACCTCAGAATTTAAATGTGCAGTTTCATTTCACGCAGCTGAAAAACTGTTAGTGGAACTACTTGTTCAGTGATTCATTAAAACCTCTTTTTCACTGACAATGTATTTACAAACACAGAAAGCTGTGCTTAATTTTGGTACTTTCTTTGAAGTTCTGTGAGCAAAGTTTAAAAGGAAGAGACTGTAGAAGGTTTTCCAAACAAAGAGCTAAGCTTTGTAGCAAATTTGTTGAAGTCTTACTTGGAAATGTACTGACTTAGTTCTACAATTCTGGGTTCAGCTGAGTTCAAAGGAGGAGATCAAAATTTTGGGTGCAATCACTGCAAGACTTCTTTGAAAATGCTCTTGCTTTACTTGGGTGAAGTACGGACAGTTGGGAGTACAGTAGTTAAAAACAGTTGCACTGGATCAGCAGAAAACAGCACTGTTTTGGTACATCTGAGTAGATGCTGAACCAGGCATTTAACAGCAAGTGTGTGGCTGCAGGAGGCTGTGGGTTTGTTGTTTTAAGTCGTAATTTTTCTGGCCTGTGCATAGGTTTTGTTGGTTAATTGAACAGCTTTACACCGTAATGAGGCTCATGTTTGTTGGTTTGGGTTTTTTCCCCCACAGGCTGGAGCAAGAAGTAGATCCATTTTAGCAGAGAAGGTCAGACTGAGCCTTCAATATGAAGAGGCCAAAAGAAGGTAACCGGGTTAGTGGCTTCGTTGCGTTACGGTGTTGGGTCGGGCTGGTGCCCGAGCTCTGTGGCAGCCG